CCATCGCGGGGTGCGTTCTGGTACCGGGGTGTCCCGGTCCGGCCGCACGCCCCCCCCGCCGTGTCCCCGCAGCACCATGGCGTCCCGCGGCGGCCCCCGCGCCGCCGGCACCGACGGCAGCGACTACCGGCACCGCGAGCGCGTGGCCTCGCACTACCAAATGAGGTAGCGTCCGGCACGGCACAGCCGGCCCCGCGGCACAGCCGGTCCCGATGCACCGTGTGGCACAGCCGGCCCCGCGGCACAGCCGTCGGCGCCGCCTCGCGCTCACGGGCGCCGTCTCCCCGCAGCGTGGCCCTCAAGTCGGAGATCAAGAAGCTCATCTACATGCACGTGGCCATCTGGCTGCTGCTGCTGGCCCAGATGTGCGTGGGCCACCTCAAGCTGCTGCCCCACGACCAGGTGGCCATGCCCTACCAGTGGGAGTACCCGTACCTGCTGAGCATCCTGCCCGCGCTGCTCGGCCTCCTCTCCTTCCCCCGCAACAACATCAGCTACCTGGTGCTCTCCATGATCAGCACGGGCCTCTTCTCGGTGGCGCCGCTCATCTACGGCGCCATGGAGATGTTCCCCATGGCGCAGCAGCTCTACCGGCACGGCAAGGCTTACCGCTTCATCTTCGGCTTCTCCGCCGTCTCCGTCATGTACCTCGTGGTGGTGGTGGCCGCGCAGCTGCACAGCTGGCAGCTCTACTACAGCAAGAAGCTGCTGGACTCGTGGTTCACCAGCACGCAGGAGAAGAAGAAGAAGTGAGCGGCGCCGGGTCTCGCCTGGGGAGACCCATGGGCGCCGGGTCTCACGTGGGGAGACCCATGGGCGCCGGGTCTCGCGTGGGGACCGTGCGTCTCCTCGCCAGCCTCGACGGGGACGTGGCGGGCACCTCACTGGGGACACGGGGACGGAAGGGGTGAACGTGGGGGCTGCGGCCCCCCCGGGACCAGCGGGGTCGGTGCACGCGGGACGGGGACGCGGGAAGCTCTGTCGGGTGTTGTGCGGACGGGTGTGCGCCCCGCCGCCGGCCTCGCGTGTGTAGCGCGGCGGAAATAAAGAGCCCGGTGTCCCGTGCGGGGGTGTGTGCGGTGCCGCGCCGGGGCACGGGGGCGGCCGCAGGAAGCGCCGCCGCAACCAGGTCGCGCCGCCCCCGGGAGGCCGCGGGGCGGCGCGCGGGAATGCGGCGGGGCGGATCCGCACCCGGCCCCGGT